TGCAGCAAGTGTCGTCAACCCTTTTTGGAAGCTACCATGGCCTAGAATTTCTTCAACTTCTTTGCTCAAGTCATCCACTCGCTCTACTTGCTGCTGCGAAAGAGATCTACCTTCTCGGAATGCTTGCACCATACTCCAGTACTCTCCTTTCATCCTTTTCGCTTTCCTACACCATGTCTCCAACTCATCCATGTCTGCTTCCCGACTGCTTAGCTCTTCCAGCTTGCTTTTCAGAGATTGCATATTCTCATCGACAAGCCCACTAGTACCTGGTTGACTATCCACGAGAGCATCATCTGTCCTAGCATCTAACACCAAGGGTGTAATAAGCAATTATGTTGAAATAAAGGATTAAGGGGGTAAATACGGGATCAGGGATTGAGGTAGGGGCTGTTTGTACAAGCGCTTGCTAAAGTGAGCATGAAGAATAAATTACAAGGTAAAGCTCGCACGCGAGCGTGTCACGTGGTTCAATCTTGGGCGAACTTTATTAGACGCCTTTATAGATATTGATAGAAGTGTGAATATTTGCCAAAACCCAATAAAATTGTCCAATTAGATATTTTGAAAGTTTCTGGAGTTAGCAACACATAATTTCCTGCTGCATCTAAGATTTTCTTTTCTTTAAAAAAAAGTAAACAAGTACATGAATTTTGGAACTACTTTTGGTTATTCGTAAGGCAAACATAGATGAAATATGAAACAATGTTCACAATTTTGGTACGTGAGATTGAAATTAACTGATGCTTTTATGTGTGTACCGATACAATTATCCATCTCCAAAGTCAGCCCACTAGCAAAAAAAGTTCACTAATCAAGGAAACTCATTTACAAGCAGCAATTTGTGCGAGTTTATTGTTTGCCTCAATCTTTGCATTTGATAGATTGCATTTGGAATGAGTTGACGAGTTATTATACTCTGAGTTAAAGCATCCACCCATATATACATGTATGTATGTATGTCGAGTTAAAGCTTCGATTGATTTCTGCAGAACGCAAATAAGAAGTGTTTAGGTAGAAACTCTAGCTCCTGTGTTTCACTGTTTTAAAAGTGAATGCTCTTTTATGTGGGTGATATGTGGGGATAGAGAGAGCCATGGCTTCTCAAGATGTGAACGTCAGTCTTAAAAGCGTTTGTATGTTCATTTTGAAAGAACTATTATGTATCATACTCTTAAAACTCCTCTCTTCCTATTAATTCCTGTCTATTTTGTGTTTTCTATTACTATTAGAAATCCAAGTGTCCTGCCTATATCCCTATTCTTAGTAAAAACGATTAGAAGACAAATTAGGCGTCCTGCATGAGCTTTAATATGTGGTGAATTTGGGGATGTGCATACCTTGTGGAACCTCTGTATTGGGTTCTCCCTCTTCTGCATTCAGCGGGTGCGACATGTTAGTCAAAGCTTCAGGTGCAAGGTCTCGGCGGCTGCTGGGATGACTCAAATTCCGCGGCTGAATGTAAAATTCACCGGCATGAGTTTGAGGGGGTTGTGGCCAGAATGAAGTGTCCCTCTGTGGGATCATGTTTTGAGCAGGGAGAGACTGGTGGAGCAAATTCGTCTCAGGCAATGGAAGAAAGTCCGACGAAGTTGCACCTACAGTGCTGATGACATCAGAGCCCAGGTACGGCATGGCGGCGAATGAAGTCTCTCTCCAAGTACCTTCTTTGCTCGCAGTCACGGGCCGATGCGGACCCTGCGTAAGGTTGGCTGACCCTTCAACATGGCCTCGCGATTCCTCCTTTCTTTTGCCCTTCAGCGCTTCTAGCGCTTCTGATCTCACTCGGCCATCGACGACCTTGCAGCCATGAATCCCGTATCCAGGAAGTCCAGCAAGGTGGGCCTTGATCCTAGTCGCGCCTCCGGCGTACTCGGTCTGGCAGAAGTTACACTTCCACTTGTTATTAGGCAGGACCTCAACGAGCTCCCACGATGGATCCGTCGCTCTTGGCATTTCCCCTGTATCCCACAGAACTAAACGGACATGTTTCAAGCGATTGGGCACCAACAAGGAAGAAGACCTTGGAAACTTTCGTCTTTTGAAAACAGGGGAACCGGTTTTCAAATTTTGGACTGGGTCCAAAGTCTTCTGTCACTTCCGGACCGACGCTCCTTTTGGAAAAGGCTCCACCACCGGACTAGTCGTTACACAAACGATCTCATTCGATGGCTCATACGTTGAATAAAAGTTTTGGAAAAGAATTTCTCAGTTGATTTTGCGGAAGGATGAACATGACTTGGGGGAAAAGAACGGATTCTACCCGGGTAAAGATGGGCGCACAGCAAGATGTCGTACCAGTAGTACTCGACGGTTATTGTTTATAATCGATGGGCTTTTATAAGGAAACACGTTCCTTTGATCCATCCCAGACCGGAGATCCCGACAAGGCCTCCACTGACAATTCATCTTATTGGAGGGGTTAAGGTTGAATCACTATGTGAATAGCTCAACAACCGGTGGCCCATAAAGGCCATTTGACACCATTTAACATTTATCGCGACATGCAACCACTTGTCATGACTAGATCACCACTCGTCGACCAACACCCGATATGGAACTTCCATTTATAAATAAAGATTCGGTGATTTAGGTAAGTTTCTTCCCTGATTTTTTCCAAACTCTCGTGCATACGCTTTCCTCTTGCTTGCTAACTTAAGCATAGCGGGGCCGATCCGGATCAAGTACCTGGACGCCCTAAACCAGTTTTATTGGTGTGAATCCATCACGAGACGGGAGCTTCAACAAATTTCTCAAGACTAGATCGTGCATCATCAACACCAACCATGCCAATATGGGATTCAAGGTCCAAGAAGAAGCCCGCATACTTTCAACATATTATGGCGCACATTACGTATGGCAAACTCACGAACAATCTAGTCAACAGCAACTAAATCTAATCCCTATTAGATGGGACCGAATTGAGCCTAATCTAGCTGAATTCGGCTAAATAGCTCAAAGGTTGTGATATCCAAATTCAGGGCTAAATAGCAGCACCATGGCGACTGCAAAGGATGGAGGACACAGCCCCAAATCACGGTGAATAGACACTGCAAAATTGGCACTTTCATAATCTGAAACCTCCAACTTTATTAATCCCAGCAATTAGTAACTTTTTTTAATGTAAAGTTTCCACAAATGCCGCTTTACCACGAATAAGAACTTAGAGGTAATGGAACTAGACCTGTTAAACGGGTGGGTCAGGTCATAAAATGGTCCGACCCAACTCGATCCATTTAACCAGTTTATGATCCATTTATCGCAAGGCAAATTTCTCGACCCATACCTGACCCATACTCAACCCATACTCGACCCAACCCATTTAACTAAATATTGGAAAGCTTATTTCTACTAATTATTTTTAAAAATTGTATTGCTAAGACATTTTTATTCAATACAAATTTAGAGGACAATTTATATATATTTTTTAAAATGAGGCTCCGTTTATTTCGCGAAAAATAACATTTATGGAAAATATTTTCAGGAAAATGACAATTTTTTTAAAATATTTTTTATTTTTATTTTTAAAAAATCATATTTTAATTAAATTTCTTTTCTTTTCCTTTTTCCTTTTCTTTTTTTCTTTTTTCTTCTTCCCTGCCAATGGCTGACTGCGGCGATGGCCAGTGGCCGGCCACAGGCAAGACTCGAGCTCGCCGGCCTTGGGCGAGCTCGAGCTCGTCTCTCTCCAGATTGGCGAGGCTAGATCGGAGAGGCTCGAGGCTTGCCATAGGCCGACGAGGCCGAGGCCTCGCCAGATCGGCGAGCTCGAGCTTCGTCGGCCTCCAGCGAGCTCATCCCTCGCCTGTGGCTGGCCATCGCCATAGCCAACCACTAGTGGAGGAAAAAGAAAAAAAGAAAAAGAAAAGGAAAATGTAAAAAAAAAATCAAAAAATTAAAAAATTGAAAAAAACATATTTATTATTCATTTAAGCTTGTTGGGCAACCCATTTGTGACCCATTTAATACCTATTAAGTTAATAGGTAACTCATTAAAGACCCATTTAAGTCTATTTTTAAAATTAAAATCAACCCATTTATAATCCACAATCATTAAATATGAGTTAATAAATGGGTTCTTGACCCATTTACCACCTCTAAATGGATGCAACAAAAGGACTTCACACTCACTATCAATGAGCATTATTCCTCCGAAATATTTCATAGGATAATCCTCTTTTTTCATTAAAACACGTTAGAGCACAATCTCGTTTAAGTGATTTGACAGAGGGAGACTAAAGGCCTGTTTGGTTCAGCATTTGAAAGCTGCTCTGAGAGTCTAAAATCCCTTGAGCAAATGCAAAGTTGTTTGGCAAGCTTTGAGGAGATGCAATTGCATCTCCAAAGCTTTCCAAGGGTCTTTGGTTGAATGGAGCTTATGAGGAGCCTTGGCAAGTTTCATTTTCGGAATGCAATCGGTACTGTTTATCATCACTGTTCTCCTCTTCCCGAGTAGCTGGTCCGGCGACCGCCACCTGGGGTCGTCGGACCTCAGGCATCACCTAGGTCGTCGGACCTCAGGCATCGCCTGGGTCGCGCAACCCAGGCGACCCCAGGCGGCGGTCGCCGGGGTCGCGCAACCCCCATGCAATCGCCGCCTGAGGTCGCACGACCCCAGGCGGTGGTCACCAGGGTCCCACGACCCCAGCGACGCCGCCTGGGGTCGCGCGACCCCCAGGCAACTGCTACCTGAGGTCAAGCGAGGCTGGCCAATGACCAGATCTGGTCGTCGGCGATTGGCAGGCGACCAGATATGGCCGGCAATGGTGGCCGGCGGTGGCGGTCAGTGGCTAGCTTTTTTTTTTTTTTAAATATTAGCAAAAGCCTTTTTACAAATAATTTTTACCAAACGGTATTTAGGCCAAAGTTATTTTCAAATGTGATTTTAAAATATACATTACCAAACACTACTTGCATTTCGAAAAACCTTTTTAACTTAAAGGTCTTTGCATTTTGCCAAATACATTTCCCAAAAGCTGAACCAAACAGGCCCTAAATAGTACAAACAGGGAGCATTTCCCATGTGAACAGTCGAAAAAAATCAGTCTGTACAGTTTGGACAAGATCTACTCAATTCGATGAGCATCGTCCAAGTGCACATCTCTATTCTCTATCCTCTTCGCGAGAATGAGGCAACTCGGGCTCTACACCTTGAGTATCCAATTCCTTAAGAACCACCAGTAAATATTCTCTTATTGCCCCTGAATTGCAGATGAAGGTAAAAAAGAGAACAAGCAATTATTCCACCGTCGCTTCCTGATTTTCATTATTTGATGCCAGGAGGGAAGCCATGCTGTCCTCGATGTACTTGACATGACACAGCTCGCCACCAGCTTCATCAGCAAACGTAATCTTCTTTCTTTCCTTGTGAACCTTATGTTCCGTCATCGGATGACAGTCCTCAGTTAATCTCTGGAATTTACAATGATATTGTCAACATATGCAAAAGTGCCATCAATTATCCAGCAGCCATAAAAGAAAGGACAGAATCAAACCATTATTTTGCAAAAACGGTTGCAGTCCCTCGCCATCATGGAAAGCCACTTCCGTGCGGTTTCTTTCACTTTACTGGCATTTTCAATGGCAGTCTTTACCTGCCAGAGAGACCGAAGTTAATATATTCAATGATAATACATTTTCTTTTCTTGAACAAGTCAGATAAGAAATGAATGGAGAAACAATTGCCAAGCAAATCGAAACAAATGTAACTACAGAAATGAATTAAGAAAGAACAATGGGTTCACAAACAATGCTTCTGTACAATTACTAGAGTAACTAATGTCTTCCTAAGTAGTGGATGGAGAGAGAGAAGTCCATATGGACTGAAAAATCATGAAGGTTGCCGAAAGGACGAAGTAAACAAACCAAAGGGTAAACCATCATCAAATTGAACTTTAGAAATAGGGTAACCAATGTCATATCAACTCTCAAGCTGATTGAGTCGCAGTCTCTCATCTGCAGCCGCTCTAATCCAGCTAGGAAAGCTATAGACCAGTAACAGATAAGTGCACAGAATCAGATATAACGGATAATAACAATAATTTTGTAGATAGAAAAACATATCTGGTACCCTTCCCACAGCATAACAGGTAACTCAAGATAAGCCTAAGAGAACAAATGCATGAACATAATTCTGCTCAACAGAAAATCCCAAAACATAATAAGTTAATATAGACCTAATCCACATGTTAAAAAAAAACATATAGAGCAAAAGAATATCCTAAGAGTGCATTAAAGGTACTAAAACTGTAATCTTGATCTGCTCATCAGCATACCTCATCTGTTGTATATTTTGTATTTCCTGTGAGACAGCTATCACCACCCGAATTCCCTTCCACGATATCCGTCATAACATTCAACTCAGTCATGAGTTTTGTTGCCAGATTGTCAAAGTCTTGCATCTGCCGTTGAGAGAATGCAATCGCACTCTGAGAACAACTCTGACTGGAGTTTACACGCGGTACAGTGCCAGATAGATTAGAATCTTTGTGATTGCCTTTAGGTGGTGATCCTTTTTTATTGCTTTTTAGTTTCTTACGTTTGGGGTTTGGAGGTAGTTCAGCCCTTCTGATCAGTTTGAACCTTTCAACTCCCAAAGACTCCGTCTCCGTCTGTTTCTGTGAGTACACTTTTCCCCTAGATCCTGAAAATACCATAACAAATACTAAGTGACAGAATAAAGAACAGTGAAATGCTACAGCTACCCAGTAATACAAGCAATTATCACAGCCATGTTTGAAAAGGAGCTCAATAAAAGGAAACAATTCCAAGCTTGGGATTTATGTTCCCATTTAAAGAGTCTAACGAACATGTACCAGCATTTGAAACAGATGACCAGATAAAAAAAGGAACCTTGCTTAAAATTGTTATTCTTGGGATGAAGACATTTAGTCATGGTAGAACTACAAGATTTATAATAGGACTTGTCATGATAACTGTGGTTATCTTGTCAACAGCCCCGTTTCAAAGATCGCCTAGATGGACCATGAACAAGGCTTTTTTTTGGAGGTCCGTATGAAAAACCCAATATTACCACACATACCATAACAATCATCATTTGACTCTGTTGCACCCATCAATTTACGCAGTCTTTCCTGAGAAGTTGGAGATATGACCTGACAATACAAGAACTATTTAGAGAAGTAATCACAAACAGATTCACTCTAGTCGCACAACAATATCAGACAAGTACCTTTCTTGCAGAAAAAAACCTCCAGGGTGCACAATGTAACTTCAACTGATCGAACTTTTCAAACATTTGCAAGGTTGTAGGATCATCAGCAACATCACATGGAGGGACATCTGTGGTGCAGCTGATTTCCACATCATCACCAGTACATACATGAGATTGTTTCTCCACTTTGATAGGAGAATCCAAGCAGACATCACAACTTGGATTCATATTTGCATTGCCAGCTGAGTTACAATCACCAACAATGCTTTTCTTAGAAATTCTCTCATGATGAGACATGCCTACGCCATCTCCACAGGGTTGTTTTGTGGGCTCCGCAACATCACATGGAGGGACATCTGCGGTGCAGCTGATTTCCGCATCATCACCAGTACATAAATGACATTGTTTCTCCAATTCGATAGGAGAGTCCAAGCAGACACCACAACTTGGATTGAGATTTGCATTGCAAGCTGAGTTACAATCACCAACAATGCTTTTCGTAGAAATTCTCTCATGATCATAAAGCATACTCTCTCCAGCATCATCCTGAGACATGCCTACGCCATCTCCACAGGGTTGTTTTGTGGGCTGACTGCTGCAAGAGGACCCATCTGGATCTTGACTGGAACTGCTTAGGTGTAATGTCACAGTGTGTGTCGATAAATAATCTTCGCAGTTGTTGGGATTACCACAAAAGTCATTTACAGAACTTTGAGAAGGGGCTTCAAGGCTGAGGAAATTTGTATGACATGCTATTTCCTGTGCCTCTGATATATGTATATCCGATTCCCAATAATTTGACTTTGGTACTTCCAAGTTACTGACCACTGAAATTGCCACGTCAAGGTTGGACGATTCAGATGCCAACGTGGCATGCTCCACGTCTTCATATGGCACTTTATTGAGAACACAAATCTCAGATTCTTCACCGACAGAAATCTGATTATCCTGATAAGATTCATTAGCCGGGTTAGGCACTTCACTGGAAACTGTCACATTGGAGGTGGCTTGTCCATCATTGACAACTTCTAAGGAATCTCTGGGAGCACCAACTCCAGTTTGTGAGTTTGAACCACAGTCATGGGCCTCATCCTCAACTTTTACAGAAATAGGCATACATAAATTCCCTTCAGATTGCAGGGTTGGTTGAGGAGATGGGATCTGTACTGCTTTGACAACTACTTTGGCACTTTGACATGATGAATCTTCGCATTTTTTAAGGGAAACCTTCTTGCCTTTGAAGTTCTTCATTTTGGCTTTCCAAATAATCAGAGGCTCCTCGAGATCAAGTTCATCTTCCTCAGGAAGAGAGTGAGAACGAACCTCCTTTTTAGGAGAGCGAGAATCATCATCAATTGCACTGGAATCTTCCCACAAGATTCGTTTCCGTTTCTGCATTTTACATCTCTCTTTAATTTGATTCAATGTCATATTTTGCAGGCAAAAATCATCTAGAAGACTGTTCTTTTCATCAACATGGTTGAACTTTGAACAATTCAAGTTGGATCGAGTTGTTTTTCTTCCCACCGTGTCAGGATATAATCCACCTCTGACATCATCATCGTCATCAAAATCTGAGACATCAAGTTCATCTTTTGGCTCAAACTTTCGGAAGGTAATGAGGTCTTTGACATCTCCTGAACCACACAAATCAGCAACTTTCTTGAATAAAAGTGCTGGCCTTCCACGCGTTATATTTAGGACTTTGGTCACTTGGCCATTTTTAATTGCCTGGATAGAATGCAAGTGGATGCAACTTCTTAACTCCATGCCTTGAAAATGACTTATTCCTCTTTCGAGATTCTAGAAAGCTTTCAAGATCCTGTGATTCATGCCAAGCAGCCATTAGGAACTCAACTGATCATCAAAGGACACATCGATGCTATGGCTGTTAAACATTACTCTTAACATAACAACCAGAAGAGGAATAGAATTTAAATTGCATTAACGAAATGAAATGCAATCAAATTTAGAGCTGGATCACATTATCTAATAAACAAGGTCTGCAGAAAAGCATGCTCGAGCAACTCCATATTTAAGTGCATCACTTTGAATACGAAAAGAACACATTTAACCAGACAGAGATAGTGGAAAAGAGGAGATATGGAAGGAGGAATCAGTCAGAAGCTCTCTATCAGAACAATTCTTCATGATCTAGGTCTAAGTCCAAAACGTAATAATCAAATTATGTCAGATCAAACTTCTACCTGACTCTAGTATGTTGGAATCTGCAGTGGTGTAAATATATTTGTTGTAATTCATTGAGATAGCTTGGCAGGTACATCAACACTATCAGCCTGTCCGGTGCAAGGATGTTAAGGGGTACTTTTGTTGACCCTAATTCAGTTTTGATGATAACAAAACTCACCCAAATATGTCATTGATTATTTGGATTTATATTTGTACTGTTTTAAGTATCTTTTGCATGATTTCGAACAGGTACAGAGACTATCTCAACTCTGAAGAGAAGGGCCAGGTGTCCAGCCAAGTATCAGAAGGTTTATCTTCAGACACTTGGCTGCTGCAGTTCAAAGTTCAAAGTTAATTTTTTTCTGCCCAATCCAGCAGGTGTCCAGGCCTTTGTTGGCCCCACACCCGGAAGCCTCAGCAATCGAATTTCTAGCCATTTGAAATGTGTTAATGGCTAGTTGAGCTTGTTACTATTAATAGGGTTGCACATTGCCTTAAGCATGTAGAGAACACTACATACACTCAGCTAAAAACTCTCGTACATACTTTGCAATCAAAACTCTTGAGAGATTGAACTGTGGGAGAAATATTTTGTAAAAGAGTACACCCTATTTGTTAAGGAGAGTTAGCTCCATTGTAAACCAACCTCTGTACGAGATTTCAAGTTTAGTGGATTGGGCATGACTCCCAAACGATATTGGGGAATGGACTGGGCACCGATTTGGAACCGAACCACTATAAATCGGTTGAGCATTTCTCTGTCCCTACTCTGATTCCTAATGAACCCACAGATTCTTCTACCATTTGACCAAATCTTCCAGATTGTATTAAAATTCTCTGATCTCGAGCAACAGCTTTCGGATTTTAGTGCTTATGTGAAAGATGGAGTCAAAAAAGCCAAAATATATCAGCTCGTCTCAGGTCTACAATTACTTGTTGAGGAAGTCCAAGCTGCTATCGGCAAGCCATTTTCTTATCATTCCGATCCCCAGCCATTCGTACATATAAGAATGACAGATCCATACCACCATGACCTTCCATGATGTCTAAAAGCTGCAACCTCTGCGAAAAGCAATAATTGCACAAGAGCTACTCGACTGGTTTCACCGGGATTCCCATTTCCTCGAGTCCGATAATCTGGACTCTAAATCGAAGTTCATAAAAGATCTTAAATCCTACCAAGTTCCCACAAGATGTTAACGTCCTCCACAAAGTGAGAACAGTAGAGACCTAAAAGCGCCTAATACACGATCCTGACAGAAAGCATCATTGTTGACCTGACGACTCAATCATCAAGCAACCGGAGGTACTCATGACACGTTAAAAGAAAAAAAAAAAAAAAAAAAAAAGCGCGCTTGCGCTAATTCACGAGCTCCGGATCTCAAGACTACAGAGCAGCGAACACTCAAAACCAGTCGCTAATCGACAGCAAACCTGAAATCGCGCAGATTAAATACTCGACCGGTAACAATGAGCGACTGAGACAACGGCCAGGACAGCGACTCCCGCTACTTACCACCAACCGGCGTTGAAGAACGACGCACGGATCCGGAGATCCACCGGGCGGAGCGCCGGGGTCCGGGTTTGGAGACGAGACCGTGCCGGAACCGGGCGTCGCAGATCCGAGCGGGGGGCAACGGCTTCCGCCGGAGCGTGGAGAGGAAACGAGGCCGACTCCGCGAGCCTCGAAACAGCGAGCCGGAGAGAGCGCGATGAAGAGCTTCAGCTCGAGCTCGCGCGCCTCGAGGAATGGAGAGAGTGAGAGAGAGGGTGGGAGTGAACTGTGAAGGGAAGGAAGGCGCCAATTTTGCAGTGGCGGGAGCGGGAGGCTTTTATTTATGTTTGTGCGGGACGGGACGGTGGAATCTGATTATGGAGAGAGAGAGAGAGAGAGAGAGGGGGAAATGTGGGCTGGGCTTGGCCATACCTTTGCCCCTGCATTTGAACTTCTTCTTCTTTCTTTTTTTTTCTTGGTTATTGAGACATTTTTCTTTTTTCTTTTTTTACTTAAATTGTGTTTCTTTTTCTTAACATACCTCCTCAAAACCCCTAATGTATCCATTAATTATCGATAATTTTATTTTGACATCATCGATATTTAATTTTGCCGGTATAAATTCTCTACTTAATTTATTTCTCTTCGTGTACTGTATTTCTAATTTTTTTAAACATAATTCTGGAGTAAAACAGAGATCTTATTTAAAAAATGATATGAAAATAGCCATTTACCCCTTGAAAGTAATGTAAATCGTTCATGCTAACGGAAAATATAATGGAGGGCGAACGAATTTAATAAAAAAGAAAGTTCAATGCGTAATCTGTAATAGTTGAATGTTGGAAAAATGACACAAATAATTCCTGAATTTAAGCATAATGTTTAATGTAACCCTTGAATTTTAACTCAATGTGCAATGTGGTCCCTAAACTTTTAATTTATTTAATGTAGTCCCTAAAATTTTGGTACATATTCAATTTAGTTCATGAACTATATGAAGATATTCAATATAGTTTTTCCATTAATTCAAGATCAGAGAGTATATTGAACATTTTTATATAATCCTGGGACTACATTGAATGTATATCAAAAGTTCATTGATCACATTGAACAAATTAAAAATTCAGGAATCATATTGAATATCAAACTAAAGTTCAAATGTTATATTGAACCAATTAAAAATTCAAAAACCACGTGGTACAGTTAGCCAAAGTTCATGAACTTCCTTATCCCTATGACCACGGACAAAAGATTGACTGCCGTTAAAGTTTATGGCCAAATGTGGACTATCTGAAGCAGCAAAGTGTCACGCATTGGACACCTTCCGTTGCGTTCACGTCCCGCTCTCCCAATCTCGCTTCCCCCACACACACAACTCTCAAGCCAAGCCAAACGACCCCTCGCTAGGGGGGTAAAAAAAAACCCGCGCCGGCCTGACCCGACCCGATCCGGCATGACCCTACCCAAAAATTTGGGGTATTTTGGGGTCGGGCCTTAGTCTTCTTCGAGTAGGGCCTTTTAGGAGTGGGTATTGTTAGGGTCGGGCCGGCTTCCACCTTCCTTCTCTTCCGTTCCTTCTCGCCTCGCTTGCTGTCGTCCTCTCTCCACTTCCTCGTCCATTGCAGCATTCACTCAAACACCATCTCTTGCATTCGGAGCCCTCGACCGATGTGGTTCCTCAGGGGGAGATCTTCGGCGAAGACGACGGCCACGACGACCACGACGGAGACGCGGGTAGTGAGCTTCTAGAAGAAGAAGAGAAGGAAGAAGTGCCAGAACCGGCCTATCGACAGCCAAGGACGGCCGGGAAAGTGCCTGATCTGAGTGTGAAGGAGAAGAAAGAGCTTGCATCGTGGGTTTTCGAGGGCTAATTGTTGGGTAAGATCTTCAATAGTTGATGGGTTTTGGTTTTTTTAGTTCTAGGGAAGGGTTTCATCTGCAAAAATTAGACAGTTGTTTTAGCTAGTTTAGTTTAATCTGTGTTATCGACTGGGATTTATTTCTATGTCTGAGAGTGGAAGCATTGTTGGAGTGTGATTTCATGCATCTCCACGGTTACTTGGTCTTAAAGCGTGATGTTCTTTGCTAAGTGTTTAATGCCTCGTGCAAGATTTGGCTGCCTTATATGGATCGGCTTAAGTGGAGATTCGACCCCTGTGGAAACACTATTTTCAAAACACATAGGGACTTATCTTTGAGGTCAATAGCAATGACAGAGAGAGGATATCGGAAGCTAGGGACGAGCTTCATTGGATGTTGTGTGAGGTTAAACTCATTTCTTCCTGGTCACCGGTTTGCCTTACTTCATGCTACTAATGGCTGCAAACTAAACACGGTAGTCTTTCAATGTGAAACAACTGCAGGACGAGTTGTGCGATGCGACACTGCTTGTGTTTGCGAAGATTAGTTGTGTTTTGTGCTTTAGATTACTTGTTTTGCTTCCTAGATCAAATTACACAAGACTTGTCCTGGTGACCTAGATGAGGTTGTGAAGCAACTAGAGTTGGTCACCGACTCACCGGATCAGTTGTTGTTGGTTAGATTGGTAGGACCATCATCATATATAGGCCCAGCATTACCAAAATGCGGGCAGAGGGGAAGAAGTAACAGGCTCACAGGGTGTTTGTTAGAAAAGGAGCTGACCCCAATCTGCTGCTCTTGGTAAAATGAAAATCTTGGGATTCTCTTAGTTTACTCAAAAACATTATCCCTATTGCAATTTGTGTGAGCAATTTGAGAAGCTTCCTTAACATTTCGTGGTCAAATGCAGAAGAAATGTCAACCATCAAGACTTGCAGGACGTGGTCGTCATGACAACACTGGGGTCGGATTGATCGACTCGCCGCCTCAGCTACATTTGTTGACCCTGTAATTAGGTGGGTCTCTTCTATCCAGACCATGGTTAAGTTCCATCTTCAAAATGAACCCAAAGCTAGAATTGGTTACCTGGCAAAAAAATATCTCTTGCCTTGTATGTCTATTAGCTAGAAGCCTAGAAATAGCTGAACTTGCATTTGGTTTCATATTTTACGTTTTGAATTAACTAGTTGTGCGATTGTGAAGGCCCTTGATCAACACTTTTCCTGCTAAAATGAAGTACGAGTGGAAGCGGCATTTAGAGGCTTGGAGACACGGATCTGGTTTAGACTATGAGCTATGAGGATGGATAGCCACAGGACAAGATCTTTGTCAAATGGGTTGCTGAACATACTAGTGTGAAGTGTTACGGAGAACTTGGTGGCACTTCAACAATGTATCTTTTTCTTTGTAATTGTCCATTTTAGTGGAGGAATTGTTGGAAATGCTAGTAGGAGGATTACCCTGCTAACATTCAACTCCAATCTTTTCCACCATTAGCACATAGGTCAAGTGCACATCTACCTATCCAAGTTGCCGACCATCGATGGTAGTCACTAGCTACAAGTTTGCGGGTCGGTTCGGGTACCCTAAATGTTTTCTTTATCATTGTGTTGTTGCAACAATATGCTCTGCAAGTACTTAACATCACCTAGCTCACACCACGCATGACGCATTCAACTTTGCGAGTTCAGTTGATTATCTGGTTTTTTCAGTTAATCACGCAAAGAAATGAATTTAAGCACTCATTTTCAATTTATTTGTAATAAGAATAAATGGGGAAATGTGAAGGTGAGGATGCTGATTCCATAACTATTCGCTATTCGGGCTCACACACATTTCCAATCTATTTGCAAAAAAAGAAAAAAAGAAAAAAAGAGAAGAACCTGAAACCCGACCCATTGCTGTGGTTATATGATGAACGGTCTCGGGCCCGGTCGGGTCGGGTCAAGCGCGTCACTATGGGTTTTGGGTCGGGTCGGGTATCATGAAGTCTCGGCCCGACCCGATCCATTGACACTCCTACCCCTCGCACGAAGCTTTGGAAAGGCGCAAATCAATCCGCGAACCGCAAACAGAGCGCACCGATCAAGCTGTGTTCCTCCATCATCCATCCCCCCCCGTTTCGTCTTCCTCCTCCTCCCTCCCTCCCTCCCTCCCTCCGGAACCGTCCTCCACCGATCGCCCAATTCCTAAACCCCGCACCTTCGTGCGTACACCCTCCGCCGCCTCGCTCAGCTGAGCGGGGTCGATCGATCTCCTCCGATTCCAGGGCCCTGCAACGCTCGCGCCACCCGCCCGGCTCGACGCCCGCGAGGACATGGAGAGCTCCGGTGAGTGTCGGCGGTTCGCTTCGAGCCGACCTGTTGATGTTGCGCTGCGCCGCGAACCGATTTTTCTCTCTCCTTCTTTAGTTCTGTCTCCCGCTTTCTCGTTTTTGCTTTGCTCGCGAGCTGTCTGTTGTTCTCTCGCCCGAGGGAATCAGTGGCGAGGAGGAGGTATCTCGAGCTCGAACCGTTTGGATCTCCTTCCTGCCGAGCTGGACGGTTGAGCCGGAATTTTGATCGTCTTCTTCGGGATCGTGGTAATCTGCGCGTTCGAATTACTCCATGTAATTGGACGGGCTGATCAAGGGAAGCAAATTTCGTTATTTAACACTGTACAAACTTTTGGTAGAAGTTGGAATTTGATTCAAGGCCAATTCAAGTGCTTTAGAATGGTTTTCGTTCGATGTCAGTCCCCGGTTTTCGTCGTGCTTACTTGGATTTTCGCTTGGATGTCCGAACAAAAAGTCGGGTCACGAGAAGAGATCGTCATTGTTGAGTGCTAGAAATCTCGGGCTTCAGCTTGCCAGTTAGGCTGACGCAAGTGTGCATGTCAAATCTGCTAGTCACGCAAACTCGATTATTTCAAGAATGTACTCTGCCCGTGCAAAAAAATGTTGATTTTTCTTAAATGCAATGCATGGATCTCGGATTCTCATAGCAAATAGGAAGATCTATTCCTCAAACTACACCTCACCATGTTGTGCGGTCGTAAAATTAACAGGAGCCAATCCTGAAGACATTATTGTGCCGCCAGTCGAAGGTGTTGCTGGAGGAGGAACTGCTTATGGATGGAATGATGGTGGCTTTCACGTTTCGAATCTACTGAAGGAATCAATTAACCCCAGTGAGGTTCCTACAGCAGATTTAGTGCATATCTGGTGCATGCCAAGCACAGCAAATGTTGGGCATCAGGAAATGCCTCGACCTTTGGAGCCGGTATGCACTATACTTATTTCATAATCAGTTGTTTATGAACACAGATGCCGTTTATTTTCTAGACTTTTACTTACCATGCCTGCCCATAGTGGTTCTTTGACATGCAAACTGGAGCAATGAGATGTTGATGTGGGGCCACCTACACAACTAGTACACAACTACTGGCATTAGTGTTACGTAGGAAATTGGATATTCTATTGCTGCGTAAAACATGAATATGTAGAAGCATGCACGTTATGAATGAGCATTTTGCTTTAGCATTCACAGAAATAATGCCTCTACGCAGGACCCACATTCTTATTCTTGTCTTAACTTTCCATACTGGGTGTATCTTTGTAGATGTCAAATTAACCCTTTTCATTCTGTGAGTTTGGGTGCATAAGGTAAATGTAGAGAGTCCCTGTTGACGCTCGCTAGGTGCTCGTTTCTGGGTAATCAATTTCTATGAATTTGTGATGCAATTGGTCTATGATATAGGCATAAATCAATTTGTGTAACCGGAATTGGTTATGATTGTCACTGTAGCAGAGAACTAGTTCTAGAAGAAGTTGGAGGTGAGATGACAATCTGCTGGTTAGTTTTTTCCTTTATCCAAGAGGACATTAAGTCCTTAAAGAAATTCAGTGTAACTTTCCTTTAGATAGTGGGGTGGAAGGGTGGGTATAAGCTGTTTTTCATCAGCAAAAGTCTACCTTTTCCAGAATATGAGAGGTATGACAATATCTTCTGCCAATGATGTCTGGTTTCTTTGAGTAAGTATTGACAATGGAAGAGAGTATGTACCCTCCAAAATTGTGAATTTTTGCCTTGGTCTCCCTTGCTGCATTCACTTCAAGGAGTCTGGAGAAGCTTCTACCCTTCATCCAAGTTTATGTTAAATTCATTTGCAGTCTTGACATAGCAACAATTCAAATATATCAATGTGAACAAGGAGCAGAGATTTTATCTTCATTCAAATTACAAGTATTTCCAGCTTCATAAACGCTCTTTATTTTGTAGATAAATCTGTTGGCAGCAAGGAATGAGAGAGAAAGTGTTCAAATTGCTATGCGCCCAAAACTTACTTGGGGTGGCTCTGGCATGGCAGGGGTAGTGCAAGTTCAGGGTTGTGACTTATGCTCCAAATCTGGTGATCGGTTAGTTGGTGACATCAGGTTTTTTTATGCATTTCATGACAGTCTTCCACTCATGTTTGTTGATATTGTGATCAACAGGTTGGCTCTTGGAAAGTCAGTTACGCTGCGGCGGGTGGTGCCCATATTAGGTGTCCCGGATGCTCTTGTTCCGATTGATCTTCCAACAAGCCAAGTGAGCTTATTTCCGGGGTACTCTCCACATTGAGGTTCCCTATTATGATGTGAATAATACTGACTCCACACGTCCATACTGAGATTGATTTACTCTCGTGGCAGTGAAACTACAGCAATTTGGGTATCAATAGATGTTCCCGGCGAGCAACCTCCTGGGCAATATGAGGGGGAGATCACAATTACTGCGACAAAGCTAGATAAAGAGTAATAACGTACTCCTTTCCCCATCATTTTTCGTTTATTGCTTTGTGGTATGCTTTAGAAATTTCTGGTAGGAGCTCCACTTTATCCTTGTTAAGCTTAATTGATGATGATTGACAGCTTAATATTAATTGTACTTATGGTTTTAGGTATATCAAATCAGCAGGTCAAGGCTTAACCAGAGCGGAGAAGCATCAACTGTACAGGGAACTTAGAAGCTGTCTAGACTCTGTGGAGCAAATAGATGAAAAACCACTGGAAGAAGTGGTGATTAATCATACTCATACATCAGCTCCGAGATTAAAAAATTTTGGTTGTATTTGGCTGTTGTGACTTATTACGCACGTATTTTTTTAGGTTCAAAGAGTGAAATCAGCAAGTACGTCTTTAAGAAGAGTTCTATTATCTCCATCGTTTTCTGAGTTCGTTTCTGAAGATGCATTAGATGATTTGATGGATGAAGATGCTGGTTCAAACCTTCCAGTGCGTGTGAAGTTAAATTTGACAGTGTGGGACTTTGTTCTTCCTGCAACTCCCTCACTACCTGCAGTTTTTGGTGTATCCTTTCTGTTTGCGGAAGTAACTTTCAAGTTAAAGTACGAACTATAGCAGTGAATTATAGATAAATCAAGTGTAGGACTGGGGCTGCATGAGAATCTAGTTGTGTGCTCAGAGGAGCCCATGCCAAATGGCAGTCACTACTTTTGGCAGAACAATTTGGATTTTCTTAGAAATGCAGCAACTGGCCCCTTTGCATTTTTTAGTTCGTTGAAGATTTTCAGTAGCTGGTGAAGAATAAATTAATTGAGACCGGAAAGGTAGTAAATAGTCGGGTAATGTGTCGAGTTGCTGAATTGTGAGCGCTAGCATGTAATTATGTTTTCCAAACTCTATTAACTCGTCAGTGCTGTCTTAACTCATCTAGGATAAGAATTTCTTGTGGAAGAACAAGGAAAAATGACCTGTCAATTTCATTTACTTGGAGATTGATTCGATTAGCTTTCCTTTTAACCGTGTTGAAGATATCTGATACTGTAATTGAGGATCGGTTTGGTGTACAACATGGGACAGAAGAGTGGTATAATGCGTTGGATCGGCATTTCAAGTGGCTCCTTCAATACAAAATCAGTCCATATTTTTGCAGATGGGGTGATAGCATGCGTGTTTTGACATATACCAGTCCTTGGCCTGGTATATTCGTTTAACAAGCTGAAATTTCGATGTAATTTTGCAACTAGTCATTTATAAGCTGGTGTATTGCAAGGTTCTAATTTGAACTGACATGCGGAATGTGTGGTTTATGTTCCTTTGCAGCTGACCATCCAAAATCCGATGAATACTTCTCGGACCCACGATTAGCAGCATATGCTGTACCATACTGTCAGGCAGTCTCACGGTATCCTATTACTTGCTTGAAATATTTCACTGTGATCAAGTATATTTGCAAAGACATTCAGATAAAGCTGATTGCTTACACCACCTTTTTAACATGCAACAGCGGCACTGCATCAGAGGACTATTTGCAGAAGGAAATTGAGATCTTGAGGACAAAGCCCCACTGGAAGAAAGCCTACTTTTACCTATGGGATGAGGTACGTATTTTGGAGAGTAGGAGAAATGAGATAGAATTGACAATAAGTCCCATGCAAAAAATGATCAAAGAGAATGGAACTTCATGTCAGTCATGATAACTGATGTTTCATATCGTGTAATTGGGTTGCAGCCACTGAATTCAGAACAATATGATTCCATTCGCAGAATGGCCAGTGAAATTCATGCTCAGGCTCCTGATGCTCGTATATTAACTACTTACTATTGTGGTAAGTGTTTTTTCTTTCTTAACCATTATAATCACGTTTCTTCTTGCTTTCGTTTTTTATTTTTATGTTTTTCACTATGCTGCACTTGGTGGACTAGTCACTTAATAATCTCATGTTGTTACTGACTTAAAAAATTGGTTTGAATTTTCTTAGTTTGCATATGATGCATTTATGACGTGCAAACATTATCTAATAGTTGGACATCGATAAAAGACTGGTTAGATCATTTGATTAGTAATTTTAATCCTAAAGCATTAGAGAGCTATCATAATTTAGTCTGAGGACACGCTAGAAGCATAAGTGGTGTTTTGATTTTGGCAAATTACTTTGCTGTCATAGTTCATTAGATCGAAACATTCATGATATAGGAAAAACTCTAACAAGGGCTCTAATATCAAATCATGTAGTCGAAGAAGTAAAAGACAGCAAAAAGAACAAAAATAGGGGTAGAATCGAGTTGAATTGAAGCTGGAAGAGAGAAAAGATATTCTAGGGTTTAAAGAACCAATAATGTTTATCGAATGAAGAAATACTAACGAAAAATGATATGAAGGCCTATTTATTCGATGTTTACATTCATTAAACAATCTCAACCCTTGTTCTAACATAACGACTTCTAATCTCAACCATTGTAGCTCATTAGAAGTCACATGACTGGCACATGGCTGGTTATCAACCTGATAACATAATAAAATCCTAAACAAAAAAGAAGCACTTAAAAATAATAAAACTAGATTTATGCTCCTGCATCTTCTACCTGGGTTTGAGAGAATCAAGCTCGTATGTGAAGACTTCTTTAGTGTGGTCTCTGATTCTCTGTATCAATCTTCTTCATCTCTTTTCCAAAAACCATTAAGCTTCAATGCAAAATTTATCCACCGTTTCACTGAGAACTTTCTACTATATCATTGTTCCTGGTTAGCATCTTTCTTCTCCTTTGAAGAACACTCGACCTCGAGTTTTTAAGTGTTGATTAATGAGATGAAGCGAATTTCTTCCAAATTGAATCACATCTTCAAAAGAATCGAGGATTTTTATCTTTTCAATCGAACCCTAAAATTATTCTGGAATAACAAAACCTACCTTCCACATGAAGAATACTCGCTCTTTAACTTTAAACTGGCTAGCATCTCCTCCACATACTTGCCCATCCTCTTCTGTGACGGATGTTGATGTCTCCTGAAGAAACTCTTCAAGAGTATATTTATATTTTTCACAGTAATCTTCAATCAATTGCAGTTTATCACCCTCTCCAAGTTAAGATATTTCAAATTCTTCTTGATCATTAATGTCATTCTAAACAACTATTTGCATGACTTCCTCATCATCCCACTTAAACTGACACTTCAAGTTCAAAATCTTTATGAGAAGGATTGATCTCTTCATCAAGATCTAAGTATGACACAATTGCTCTCCCAATCCTACCACATTATTTATGGGTCTGGCATCATGAACAGGATTTTCATCGTATCCATCATCACTATCATCCTCGGGACCACCTTCCGACATGTCCAAGGGGATCACAGTCGCCTTCGGGATTCTCGATATGGGTTTACACGGAATCTTATTGCTGCAAAGCTTGAACAGCTTGTGACAAGTCTTCAATCATATGTCTCATCTGAACCATCTCTATTTGTTTGGCTTGATTGCCTCTTCCACATCCAACAAGGGCTCTGATACCAATTGACGTAGTTGGAGCAGTAAAAGATAGCAAAAAGTATAAAACATGGATGGTTGAGTTGAATTGAAAATGGACTAGAGAAAAGATATTCCAGGGTTTATAGAAATCAACAATGTTTATTGAATGAAGAAGATACTAATGAGGCCTTAGGGGAGCGTTACGGAGGTTGGCCAATCTCAACCCTTGATCTGACATAATGAATTCAACTCGCTAACTACTGGAGTTCATTAACAGTCACATGACTGGCACATGACTGTTTATCAACCTAGTAGCATAATAAAACACTAAAAAAAGAGAAGACACTTGAACATAATAAAACTAGAATTACGCTCCTGCATCACTTCAGCAATAGTTTTTGATGCTATAGTTGCTTTTATAACTACTATAATGTGTATTGCTATTGTCTTCCCCCATATTTCTTAGGGCCGAGCGACATGCCTCTTGCTCCTAATGCCTTTGAGGCTTTTCTGAAGGTTCCGAAGTATCTACGCCCTCACACTCAAATATATTGTACTAGGTATGTTTTTAATGGGCATTCTAAATTTCACCGTGTAGGAGAGTATAGATGGCTTGTTGATTATAAGTGGTACTCCTACTTTTTGGGGCCATCTTATCTTGTGTTCTGTTTCCCGGGAGGGTCCTGTCTGGGTAGCTATTTCAGGAACAGTGTTGGGAAAATGATATTGGATTCTAATAGGAGCTCTGAAGCTTTAGTTACATTTTCTAGACTTGATGTTCTAGTGATATGATGCTTTTTTACATTGACACGAATATGTTTTCAGAGTATCCTGTTTGAAAATTTTGGTATTATACCTGTCTACATGAAGTGAGAGATATTGCATCTAAGATGCAAGGCCGGCTTTCGCAAATGCTTCTTCATGTACATTAAGTTTTGTGAGCCATTATTAATGCGTGCACATCTTGTCATTTGGGGTTGAACATAGCATGTTTATGGAGTTAGATTCCATAGTGCCTTTTGAGTCCTTGACAATCACTTGAATCTCACCACTGGGCCTGTTTTGGCATTATTTAGCATGGCTGGCACTTAATAAGATTATCTCAGGTGTCAATTTTACTCATTCTTAAATTAAAATCCATCTTACCTTTTCTTTCTCATCTCCAAATCTTGAATTTTTACACCGGTCTTGCTCAGTCATGGATGTGATGTGACCCTCAGGAGGAATATTTATGCCTTTCTGCTGATACTGTATGAATGAAAAGCTCTTTGTTTGACATGTTATCCATCTGATGTGAACCATATCTTGTTATCCGACAGCTAACGAGAATTTCTCATATATGCAGTGAGTGGGTTCTGGGCAATCGAGAGGATTTGGTCAAGGATATCATTGCTGAGCTGGAGCCAGCAGATGGTGAGGTAATAGTCTCGACTTCTTAACGTGGATGTTGCTTTTCCAATCATATAATTACAACATTTCATGTTCTTTATTATCGTTTCTAAATTTGACAGAAAATATTATATTCGATGATGTTCAACTTGGACAAGATCGATTTCACTTGATATTTTATAATATTGCTATGTGGTTTAAGTAACTTTACTAAAAACTATGTCGGGCTGATGATTTTCTCTTCTTTTACCACTCTCTTCCCAAAAACTTTAATCTGTCTGTTCATTATGTTATCAATCTATTTGAACTCTTACCCTCATATTCCTCTAGCTTTCATTAAAGGTCATTACTATCTACAAGTTTCTGTCTCTTTATCCGACTGAAATGATTTGACAAGTTTCTGGAAGCTATGTCTTGATAATCTGTCTTTTATTTGGCGAAGATGCCTGAAAACCTTTGTCCTCTGACTATTTTGGTAACTGGTACCGAAGTCTTTCCAGCCTTTTTATACGCTGTTTGATAAGTTTAACGGGAGAAGTAGAAGACTGGAAGAGGATTTAAAACTTATCATTTCCTTGACTAAATGTTAACTAACAGATAGACATTGATATAATTGTTCGTTAGGCATATACAGACAGCCACTCTGAAGATGCCTGCAGTTCAGTTTGTTAAAGTGCGGAGGAAGTAGAATTTAAGACCTTGATTTATATTTTCCGAGCTTCTATATCATTTTCTAACTACTATGTTAACTAACATGTAGCAATTGACGTAATTGTTCCCTAGGCATACAGGCAGTGTACTGTTAAGAGCCTTGTGGTTTTACGTACAAGCTACGGCTTGGTTATTTTCTGGAGCATGTCTCAAGTGACTTTTTGGTGAGAGGTCAATTGGATGATCCTGCCAAGGTAGGATAGGGCTCATTTGCCATGAAATGTATGGTGTTTTGTCATTTTTGTGTGAACACTAGGATTCATTACACTTATTCACTGGATTATTTTTTGGTTTACTCCCTCATAGCTCAATAATGCTATTGAGTCATTGGTGAAAATAACACAATCATGCTCTCCCAAAAAATAGATATGGCACCCAAATGTTGGAAGAAAATAAAGAAATAAAAAAGAATCACGACAGACTGCATCCATAATTTAGTGGACTGGTGAATTTAACTAAGTATAAACCAACTGGCGCCTCAACAGTGGCAGCAATTTGAGGTTTTGGACTCTTAATATCTGTCCATTATATACAGGAATCAAATTCTGTGCACAATTGTTGGAGATGCTCTCTGATTGTTTGATAGTTTGCAAACCATGGTGTTTTATAAGACTAATTCCTATTACTTGCTAGTATTAGAGATGCAAAACCTTGTGATTTTGGAAAATGGAAGGAAAACTCAGCCTATCATTTGAACAATATGACTAATTCGTCCTTTAATTTCATCTAGTCGATTTTTTCATTGACTTTTGGTGTGATGATGTGCAATGAAGTGTGTTTCATTTCTAGGGAAACTAACTATAAGAAGTCTGAAGAAAAATAAAGGAAGTACAGAAAGTGACGATCTAGTTATCTCTCTCCTCTCTTACTTTATTTATTAATTTTTTGTTTCCTCGCTTCCTTTGGATTGTTGCAACGGAATATTGATAACACTACTCTTGTTTATTAGTAGAGATGTACTGCTAACTTTTATTTGGGAATTAGTCATCATACTAATAGCTAAGAAAATGGTTTTTTCTTTTCTGCAGGAGTGGTGGACATATGTGTGCATGGGACCATCTGATCCTCATCCCAACTGGCACCTCGGGATGCGGGGGACACAACATCGTGCTGTTATGTGGCGAGTATGGAAGGAAGGTGGTACAGGATTTCTTTATTGGGGTGCCAATTGTTACGAAAAGGCGACAGTTCCTAGTGCTGAGGTAGTTGCTTGATCTGTGGATAATTTGTTGTTCAAACTTCAAAATGGCAGCAATATGTTTTCCATGCTTAAGTGCATTATTTTGTCGTTGAGCAGATAAGATTTAGACGCGGTCTTCCACCTGGTGATGGTGTTTTATTCTACCCCGGCGAAGTCTTTTCATCTTCTCAGGAACCAGTTGCTTCGATCAGACTTGAGCGCATCCTCAGTGGGTTGCAGGTGAGGCAAAAATACAAGCTCTTAGAGGTGCCCTTGGTTTGACCCGTCGTTTGATGGAATGCACTTTTTTACCTCTTCACCTGATCCGGTGAAAATTTGCATCTTTTCCATCCCTTTAGACATTTGTTATGTGTTTGCTATGGTCGTCGTGTTTGACTGAGGTTGTAGTATGATACAGAAAGATGCGTGCCATATTTTAGCATGAAACTTGGATCTTTGATAGGCTTAGTGTTGAACTTCTTAATATGATGTGTAACTGCATATTTTAAAAGACATGTCTTTGTGCTTTTTTAGGACTACGAGTACTTGAAGCTCTATAGTTCGAAATATGGCAGAGATGAAGGGCTGGCTCTCTTGGAGAAAACAGGTCTTTATTTAGGTCCAGAGCGTTACACTCTGGAACACATGCCCGTCGACATGATGCGAGGCGAGATCTTCAACACCTGCCGCTCGTGATCGGTTTTTACCCGGTCAAATTTTGTGCTATTTGTGTTTTATTCTCTGTAACTGTAATCTTGGATAATCCTGTGTAAAAGCCCAATGTGCTTATGGCAAAACTCAGTGGATTTTCCACTGGGGCAATCCAGTTTTTCTGAGGGATGATGGGGTACATAGTGGTCACATATAAGATTTTGCTTATGGCCGGGTCCACATAGGTGATATTAGCTGTATCTATGTCCTAGTGCTGAGGCATCATATTTACTTGGATGAATAGACCGTATGGTTCTTTTAATGCTTGTCGAGATTGCATTTGGGATTTGATGCATTACCGGATGCGTTAGATGGACGTCGGGCGGAGATCGACCTCATGAGTTCCTTAAATGGGCGGTTACTATGACATGAATCACTCTTAGGCAAAAAGAAGTCTAAAGTGGCTCGAGACGTCTCCCGGGACCCTTCAGCCAAAACAAATGGGTTGTGGAGAAAAAATTGATCTTGCTGAAAATTATATGTTGCCCCGCCGACAGTACTCGATATACGCGTTTTTTTGAAGCTTGTGATTTGGCGTCCAGATATTGTGTTGCGGCACGACTGATGGTCATCACTTACCGAAAACTTGTTATGCTTGATGGCGAGCCGATCGGTTCGTATTCTCCTTTTGGCCATCATAGGGCTTGTCTCAGCTTCTCAGTAGCTCGAAAGTCGCATTGAACAACCTAAATCTTAACGTGGCAAACCAGGATAGACAAAGTTGGAATGCTCTTGTGCGTGTGACCGCAATCGACGTACACCAATGAGTAGGGTTTACGTGGGATCCACCTGGTCTAACGATCGTGTAAGAGGATCGGCTTTAGACGATCATCCTTGTTTGTAGTTTTTGCTGGACCTACTGCCCCTAACCTCGTCTTAATGACTCGTTTTCAGTAGCGATAAACTTATAAACAAGGCACTGACATCCTAACGGTCTCGATTATTTGCCAGAACGGTGGAGACCTGGGCTGCGAATGATAACCATTCTGTTTCTCTATTTCTGTTCCAGAAATAGGTTTGGAACAGAAATCCGTTTGGTAACGCAATTTTAATTTCTATTTCTGGAACAAATTTTTGTTCCAGAAATAGATTTGAAAGAGAAATCAGAAGTTAAAATTTTTAGCTTCTCTATTTCTGGAACAGAAATGAGAAACAAATTTTTTTTGTTCTTCTCATCACTTTCCCTCACTACTAGCCGGTCGCTCACCCGCCGCCCATCGCCGGCCGCCGCCACCCGCCGACAGCCGCTACCCTTCACTGGCCGCCGCCGCCGGCCACCGTCTCCTGCCACCGGCTGCCTCCCACCACCGCCGGCTGTCGACCACCGGCCACCTCCCGCCACCATCGGCCACCTCCCGCCACCATCGGCCGCCAGCCGCCTCCCGCCGGCCAAAAAAAAATTCCAAAAAATCCTTAAAAATTGAAAAAATTCCAGAAAAATTCATAAAAATTTCTAGAAAATAAAAAAAAAGTCAGATTTCGGGAAAATAGGAAATTTGTTCATTTTTTCCAAAAAAAATAAAAAAATTTCAAAACTTCACAGAATGGCTTAGAATACTTGTGGCCACTCACTTTGAATGAAATTTAAATTTTTTGAAGTGCCCAAAAAAAATAAAAATAAAATCAAAAATTTCAAAACTTTACATAATGGCTTAGAATATATGTGGCCACTAGGGGCGAGCACGGTTCTAGGGTAGAACCGAGAACCGAAGAACCGGACCCGGCGGGTCCAGTTCGGTTCCCGGTTCCAAGGTGATAGGTTCCGGTTCCCGGTTCCAAATTTTTAGGAACCACCGGTTCCGGTTCCCGGTTCCGATTCCTAGGAACCGGAACCGGGGAACCGGGAACCGGAACCGGTTTACTTTACCCTCTAAAAACCCTAACTTTTGTTAGTTTCTTGTTTCTTCCCCTTATTTCTCCTCGCTCAGTCCTCCTCCAGTCTGCTCTCTCTCGTACTCCCCACACCCACGACTCCACGAGCTTGCCTCTCCTCTCTCCGTTTGGCGTCGCCTCGGCTTTTCCTCTGTCTTCATCAACCACACCCAGTAGAGGAGCTCCGCCGCCGCGGCGCCGGCCCCGAGGGCGGGCTACGGTGGCGCGCAGCGGCAGATTGGGGGCGGCGGCGGCAACAAGAACAGGGGCAGCAGCAACGGGAATAGGAGGGTGGTCGACGACGTTGACGATTCGGACGTCGAGATGCTGAGCATCTCGAGCGGGGACGAGGATTCTGCTAAGGATCGCGCGGGTTCGAGGGCTAGAGGTGGCGCGAGTGGTGGTTCGAGGCCCGGGAGGGACGACGACAGAGCGTGGGATGGCGAAGAACCTGATTGCTGGAGGCGCGTGGACGAAGACGAGGTGAGTTCGAGATGGTAAACCTGAGGAGAAAGGGAGAAGTTTCAGAGAACGACAAGAATGAGGGATGGAGGAGGGTCTTCCATGTCCGCTTCGGTTCCAGGGTATGTCCGAGTCAACGTCTCTCTCTCTCTTCGCAAAACCCTTGTTAGTTTTCATCACTGTTACGCACTTGCACAGTCTGAACTTCATGTGCTGCGTTAAGGGGAGAAGAAGAAGAGAGATTGATTGTTGAAGCTCGATCGAGGGAGAAAGAGAAATAGAAAGGATCGTCTTTGGGTGTGGAAATATTACCTTTTCTTGTTTTTTCGTTGACCCTTTTTCTTATCATTGTCGTTGTGATCGATAGAGAGTAGCGAGAACAAGAAAGATAGTGTTGGTTTTGGCATTGGGGGATCTGCACATACCGCACAAGGCGCCTGATCTGCCCTTTAAAGTTCAAGTCCATGCTCGTCCCTGGCAAGACCCAGCACATCATCTGCAGCGGCAATTTATGCATCGAAGTGGGTCCCTTTATCCTTCTCTTGTTGTTGTTGTTGATTGAATTCCCTGACTCATCTGCGATCGTGATCTTGTTTGGATTTCTTTTAGCAATTTCGCGTTGCTTGGTCGATGTTGTCTTTGTTTTCTTTTTCGTTTTTGGCTGCAGCTCCCATGAGGTGATGTAGCGATGGTATTTTTTGATTCATTTTTGTTTTTGTTTGATGTCATTTTAGTCTATGCCATCTAGCATATTGTGGGGATTTTTTGTTTTGGTAGGGGAGTTGGGGGTTACAAGCATTGTTCTGTTGGTGATTTTTCCTTTCCTTATTTTTGGCCTCACTTATGGGGCTTTCCTTGCGGCTCATGGATGCAGTTGAAAGTTTTGTTTGAATCACTAGATTGGTGTATTCTTGGCACTCGGCGGTTCAGCCTTTTTTCTGAGAGAGGAGGCTTTTAGATTGCTGACCTTAAGTGCCTCATTGTGCAATTACCGGTTGTCTCGCAAATTTCTTTGATTTGTGGAAATTGACAATGTTCTTCGTCACTTTTGCTATGAAGTAGCTGTGTCAAGATTTCTTGCTTGTGTTGCAAATGACAGTTCACTTACATGCGAGTTGCAAGTAGAGCTCTGTTAGGCATGCTATATGATAGGAATGTGTCTTATCTGTCATATCCTCCATTGTTTCCACTGAATTCTAATAAAATAACACTTTGGAAAGAATGGTCTTAGGTGCTGCCTGCAGTATGAAGGATTCTTGCGTTTATTTTTGTTTTGTTTAATTCAAAACGAAATTAAAAAAAGAACCTGTTGGAACCTGGAACCGACCTTGGAACCTATGACAGGGTAGGTTCCAGGTTCCACGTTTCGACGGGTAGGTTCCAGGTTCCTCTTTTTGAGGAACCTGTACCCGAGGGTAGGTTCCAGGTTCTAGGCGGAACCTACCCGGAACCTGGAACCACTCACCCCTAGTGGCCACTCACTTTGTGTGAAATTTAAATTTTTTGAGGTGCCCAAAAAAATCCAAAAATCAAAAATTTCAAAACTTCACAGAATGACTTAGAATATCTGTGGCCACCCACTTTGCGTAAAATTTAAATATTTTGAGATGCCCAAAAAAATTTAAAAATAAAAAATTTCAAAACTTCACAGAATGGCTTAGAATACCTGTGGCCACCCACTTTGCGTAAAATTTAAATTTTTTGAGGTGCCCAAAAAAAAACCAAAAAATTTAAAACTTCACAGAATGACTTAGAATACTTGTGGCCACCCATTTTAAGTGAAATTTAAATTTTTTAGGTGCGAAAAAAATAAAAAAAATAAAAAAAAATAAAAAAATTTAAATTTCACTCAAAGTGGATGGCTACAAGTATTCTAAGCCATTCTGTGAAGTTTTTAAATTTTTTATTTTTTGATTTTTTTTGGGCACTTCAAAAAATTTAAATTTCACTCAAAGTGGGTGGCCACAGGTATTCTAAGCCATTCTGTGAAGTTTTGAAATTTTTGATTTTTTTTGGAAAAAATGAACAAATTTCCTATTTTCCCGAAATCTGACTTTTTTTTATTTTCTGGAAAATTTTATGGATTTTCTGAATTTTTTTAGATTTTTAGGAATTTTCCAGATTTTCTAATTTTTTTATTCTATTTCTAAAAGAAATGAAGCGATTGTCCGCCGCCCGCCGTCCACTCGCCGGCCACATGAGAAGGAGAAATTTTGTGCCGTTATCAAACAAATTTCTGTTTCTGAAATAGAAATTTTGTGTCGTTATCAAACATGTTTTTTAGCTTAGAAACTCCTCCAGAAACAGAAATAGAAAAATCAATTTCTGTCCAGAAATTGATTTCTGAAACAGAATGGTTATCATTCGCAGCCCTGTTGGCCACAAATTCGTTTCCCAAGCCCATGGCAACCGGTTGAACTTGTAGATAATTAATTCAATAATGGAAGCTATATAAGAAATGAACGCGTGATCCACATGATCTCTCGACGGGATACACTCCTTGTTTTGATCGTTTTGAACGTGAAATATATGTTGATGGCGTAGGAAAGTGCTTTACTATGGGCGTCTTTGATTTGGTGATGCAACTTGTATTAATTCAAAACTATGTTGATTGACTTATATGCTAATTTAAATTATGGTTGTTCATCTAGATTGATCAGAAGTCAAAGTTAAACTTTCTCGTCAAATCTAAAACATTATTTAAATTTTAAAAGATTACCGAAAAGTTATATCTCGATATTCATATCGATATTTTCGGGTTGTAACAAATCGAAATACAAGCCGATCTTTGATTTCCCATTTTTCCTGTTTTTCTTTTGTTTGGACCTTACATAATTGACCCAAATTGTAAAGTTCATTTGAACCTGACAATATATACTTAATGTATTGAAAGATATATCACGCTTCTCGATAAAAATATATTTATTTGATTTCTTTTTATGGATAAAAGGA